GAATGCCCCTCCCTCGTCGCCTGAGTGCGCCGAGTTCCGCTATGAGGTTGTACTCTGCTAAAGTAAAATTCTTTTAGTGCCTTGAAGTGATTGGTCTCTTGTCCCGTATTGGAGAACGTTTCCCGGATGCACAAATCAGTCCTCAAGTGTTCATCAGCGACAAGTTGACACTAAAACTTACTCAGGTATTTTTTTGAACCGTTTTATATTTTATTTGAACTTTTAGCAGTTGAAAACGAATCCGAATAAAACTTGTCATGGTACTCCTGGCTCATCATGGTTAAGGGGGTGGGACATGTGAGATGGGGGGGGGAGAGGGAGAACAAAGGACTCTGTAAAGAAAGCTGCGATCTTTTGTTCTCAGATAGCGCATATCCCTTTTCGCTACTAGTTTCCCATCAGAGCGCGATGCACTATCAGAAGCTAGGATAGTTTGTTAGGTTTGTTAGCTTCGACCCCATCCTCACTTACATTAGTTTCTTTAGCCCTGAATTCCATAATTTGGTTGTCCATTTCCCACGTTCAGCAGGCATCTGATTGTTTTTTGGTTTCCTTCTAGATGCACGATTTTGGGCACTACAAACCTTGGAGGGGGTGGGGGTGGGCGTTGGGCGCACCTGTAAGCTGTATGCAGGTGAATACCGGACACTCGTATCTCACCTGCAGCTCCTGTGAATCTCTGTCAAGTGCCCTGTATACTCCTGTCAAGCCTGCAGTCTATGATGAGTCGACATTTTGACAATTTTGACACGTTTGACACGAGCTCGACAGGTGATAACAGGGCTTGCAAAGGGTTGACAAGGTTATTCATGTATACAGGTATACAGTTTACAGAATGTGATATGCTGACATGCGCCCACTGATAATTCCTCCCACCCTCCGCCGCTTCCACCCCTTACAAGGTTACTAGTGCAATTTCATTACCGTTCTGTTCTAGGAGTTATCCGATGCGTTGGTAGTGGCCGCAAGAGCGATGCCCGATTGGTGTTCTCGCCTGATTTACGGCTACCCATGTCTGTTCTCTGCTGAAACCAAGTGAGTTCATTTTCTTCCATAGCAGTCTTCCATCGGGAAAAGATGCCTATTCTTCAAATGGCGTATCGAGATTTCAGAAATATGTACATGCAAGCGACCGCATTTGGCGTATCACGCACAATTGTGTGGCTACAGTCTCGTCGTGATGCAGCGCTAGATCGAGCACGAGGTGCTGCTCAAAGTACCGCCAGTAGCGCGACCAGACCTCATGATCGATATCAGGAATATCGCGTTGGACGGCTGAAGCATGAACGTATAAAGGTTTGTTTGGCTTATTTAAGATATAGGTTTCTTAGGTGAATATTGGTTCCTTGGACGATAGCGACAAATGCACACTGAGGCAGCGTTTATACTCTGCGTCAGCGTTCTGAACGTGCAGCTGCGTTTTGAGAGTTCCCAACGTACGGCAGCCTTTTGAGCGACTAGGAAAGTAAAGGTATAGATCTGCCGTTTTAAGCGTACGCCAGCGTTTTAAGCTAATGCCCGTCAAGGAGTTCAAAACTACCCGCGAAACGCTCATAACGCTGCCATACGCTCGAAACACTGACGCAAAGTATGAACGCAGCTTAAGTGCTGTATTGGGGACGGAAGAACTCAGCGCTGTGAAGAGTGTTATAGGACCCTCCTACCAGTGATGCTAAGGCAGCGTACAGGCTTCGCGATGACGCGCATCGACGCGCTGTAATGCGCTGTAACGCGTGTCGACGCACTAAAACTACAATAGCGCTTCAAAGCTATGGGGGCGAGCGCAGCCGCAGACGGCCGGAGCCGATCGATACCAGTCGGCGTGACTAGGCAGCGCATACCATCCTGTTCCTTCATACTCTCGTCTACCATCTAGAGCGCGCTATGTGCCCTCGTCAAACGAAGCCGTTAGCAACAGGAAGCGAATCAGGCCTTAGCCGCTCCGTCGGCTTGGTAACGTGTGTTGGTGTTCGGGGGTGGCGCGTCGGGTGGTCCGTCTTATTATGGGGCGTTTCGAGCATCGTTGCCGACTGTGGGTGGTGTGTCAGTCGTGCGGACCGCGCGGTACAGTGGCGTTACTGATTCACAGCGCGCTGTTGACGCGCGTGCTCGTCACGAAGTCTGTATCATGCCTCCTAAGCCGAGGCTGCTCTGCTCCCTATTAGTACATAATTTGGTCCTACTTAAATAAGATTCAATTGATTTTACTCTCAACTAGGATGTTAAGCGGTTACCCGACGTCGAGGTCAGCATCACTCTTTTGGAGCTAAGCCGATTATCGTGTAATTGAATTCCATGCAGACTCGAAAATCTATTAAGTTATTAAGAGCGGCACAGCTCTAGGCCCTACGCTGGAGTTCTACGCATTGCGTTTATGTTCAAAGACAAAGTATCGGCATTGGGATTTAGTGTGTCCTGCCTCCTTTATTATCCTGTACTATGAGGGTTGCCGGCCGACGCTGATCCAAAGAAAGGGCGTGTATGCCATTTGCATGGGGTGTTTGATCGCACGTGGATGCGGCACGAACACCAACTGAAGATGGAGGAACGTGAGCTTGACCTTGGTGAAGGCAAGAAACCACCAGGGTTAGTGGTTGTTTATAGCCTCCTTCGGCATGGTGAATTGCTTGGTGTATTGCCTCTTTGTAAGTGCCCTGCTGGTTCAGATTCTACGTGCGCCGTGCTGGAGGTCTGTTCCCAGCCCCTCTCCCACCGCATACAGATGAAGTTCGTCGTGCATCTGAGATGTTCCGAGTTCTTGGAATCTTCCTCGCTAAGGTTTGTGATATTCATGGTTTGAGTTGAAAAGCAATTGCCAATTTACTGCTTCCAGGTGCTCCAAGATGGACGTCTTGTGGATTTGCCTCTGGCTCGTCCATTCTTGAAACTCATTGTGTCACCACACCTTAGCGAAGCTGAGGAGCCGTCACTAGATCGAGTGCTTTCGTTGGATGATTTCGAGGAGGTCCATCCTGTCAAGGGTAGGTTTCAACTATTCCATCTGTAGTTGTCAATCTTTCGTTCTTGTTCTCAAATGTCAAATTAGAGTATGTGATTAGGGGTGGGGGTTGCTTTCACGCCAGAAACCGGAAAGTAGGCTCCAAAATCGATCATTAAAAGTGCCTAGAGGGCCTAATGTAACGGAAATGTGATTTTCACAACGAAGCTAGGCTGATGATTCGATCGAAGGGCTTTGAACCGTCGCTTAGGCGCTACGATGTGCGTCTCAGAGACAATCTTTAGATTTACCTCCGTGGATAGTCCTCTCCATTTGCGAAGTGAATGGAGCCGCAGAAGAGCTGCTGAGGCGGGGAGCAGGTCGTTATTACGGTCAGTAGCGCCTCAGTAGCGGTTTGACACAGCGGACAGTTGACAGCTGCGCCATTCGACCTGTGGTGAAATAAAATTTGTGGGGCATAGACGCAGCCCCAACAGGGGGATCGTATGTGATCGCGGGAAGGGAAGTCGTAACTGGGCTGAGAGAAATTGACTTTGATAATTAA